AAAAAAAAGTAGGAGGGAAGAGAAAGAGAGAGATCTTATATTTAATGAGTAATTTAATAAAGGAAAAGGTATATCTAATTTTATACAAAAGTTTTGATGAGTAAACTTCATATATCAATATTTAAAAATATTTTATGTACATTTAAAATTTTAATGTTAATAGTATTAGGCTTAAAAAACGTGAAACTACACTTTACAGAGTTAAGGAACCAAAATAAAATATTAATGAAGTTAAAAAAAAAAACTAAAAGTAGCGTAGTTTTATCTATAATAAATAGGAAGCGACTTACTTGATTGCCGATTGAATATAATAAAGATGGCGGAAATAGTAGTCAATCTTAAAGGTATCCATAAGGGCTTCTTCCAATGTTAATGTTGGATCATCAAACTCATCAATACCTGTGTTACAGATGTTTATGAAGGAAATCACAAGTGAAAGAAATTAATATTTATGATTCACTACTACTGCGAGAAAAATAAAAAGAAAATTAGTGAAAAGTGAAAACATGTTCATATATAATTGAGTACCATTTTCAGTAATGTAAATAAGAGGATTGTTTAGTCTTCACATAGAGCAACAAGTCTCTAATTCCTCCAGGATAAACATATAACCAATCAGAGGCAGCCTGCACATATATAAATAAGCGGACTGATTAACTTTCATTAGACAAATACTATACATGTTTATCAATCAGACAAAAATATTGATGTTAGGAGTGAGATAGGACGATTAATTACGTACCCTTGGACCAATGGGTGTGCCATTCCGCTCAGCTACCACAGAATAATTAACACAGGTGAACATAATACATAGAGACATTGAAGTGAATGAATAAATTATCAGTCATTTTTATAAGATACAAATAATAAAATTATGCAGATTAACAAAATGCTTAAAATTGGTTAAAGATAATAAGGGTTAAGGTGCACCCAGCACCCCCAAGTATTTTGCCAGGTGCACTCAGTGGCCTAAAGTAATTTATGGTGCAATTTTGCCCTCAAAGTAATTAAAATAGTGCACCGGTATCCCATGCTAACAGATCTGTTACTTTGACCGTTAAATTGATGAGTCAGCACAAGTTTGACCAAAATAATCTGACATGGCATGTCTAATAAGCAGGTGATGTGGAATTTTTTCGAGGTTAAGGTGCATCCAGCACCCCCAAGTATTTTTCTAGGTGCACCCAGTGACCTAAAGTAATTTATGGTGCAATTTTGCCCTCAAAGTAATTAAAATGGTGCACGGGTATCCTATGCTAACAGATATGTTACTTTGACTGTGAAATTGATGAGTTAGCACAAGTTTGACCAAAATAATCTGACCTGGCATGTCTAATAAGCAGGTGACATGGCTTTTCTTGTTAATTCCATTGTTTTGTCTGAATATTACTCCTCTGGTCCTATTTATAAGACACTTCCAGCATGTTTCACACAGACCAAGGAAAACCTTAAATTTCATTAACTCTCATTTAAATTTTAATAACTTCTCAACTTTATCCCTATTTAATATACATTATACCTCATATAAACAAAGTCAATACAATAATAAATGAGGGGTAAAATTGTACATTCATACAAAAAATTTCTCTCAGTGCCTTATAAATAGGACCAAAAAATATCTTCTCTCTCTACCCCATAAATAGGACCAGAGGAATATCTCTGAAAAAATTTCTTACTCTGAAAAAAATTCCAAGAGCTGAAGAGAGCATTTACTGAACAGAGAAAACAAAGCAGTGGCAGACGAAAAAAATTCCACATCACCTACTTATTAGACATGCCAGGTCAGATTATTTTGGTCAAACTTATGGTGACTCATCAATTTCACAGTCAAAGTAACAGATCTGTTAGCATAAGATACCGGTGCACCATTTTAATTACTTTGAGGGCAAAATTGCACCATAAATTACTTTAGGCCACTGGGTGCACCTGGAAAAATACTTGGGGGTGCTGGATGCACCTTAACCCCAAAAAAATTCCACATCACCTGCTTATTAGACATGCCACGTCAGATTATTTTGGTCAAACTTGTGCTGACTCATCAATTTAACGGTCAAAGTAACAGATCTGTTAGCATGGAATACCGGTGCACCATTTTAATTACTTTGAGGGCAAAATTGCACCATAAATTACTTTAGGCCACTGGATACACCTGACAAAATACTTGGGGGTGCTGGATGCACCTTAACCCAAGATAATAAATATGGTCATAAATAAAATTACACTACAAAATAGATATTATATTTAGAATCAGAGGTAGTACAAATTAGTTTTCAAAAATACCATTATTTATGAGGAGAGAACAAATGAATGGGAATTAATGTAATGAGAGTAGCCGATAGTCAAGAGGGACAAAAACGAAAAATGATAGTAGCACGAATATCAAACATGCTAGTAGCGTCTCTTATAAATAGGAGCATGACATTCCTAGAAAAATTCTCTTATATGTAGGAGTGTGTGTATATTATATGTATAAAAGTTAGTTAATTGCTTGTAAGATTTGCATGAGCATCAGTTTGGTAGGATGGTCTGGAACTGCGGAGTGAAGGCGAATGGGCAGCATAATTAGCAGTATAGTAATTAAGGCCCAGAAATCGAAAGAGCCTTTAAGAAGCTTCGATTCTTCGCTTGAGAATTTTGGCAATCGGTTTCCCACGAGTGCTCGCATTTTCCTTGGGTAATTCCCTTTACTCAATGGGCCCATGAACCTGCATTATTAACCAACAAAAATTAAAATAAGGCTAAATTTTAAATACTAAAGATGATATTAGCTCTTATGCCGATTATTATGTACATACCATCCAAACATGAAATCAATGGCTCGTGAAGCGGCATTATGATCGGGTTTACTATCTGAAAAGGGCACGAACCAGTGAGACACCAGTGTTATTCCTATCACACCCTTCGGAGATGCCTGCATTTATATGTCATCATCAAACACATGTACAAACGTTTGCATAGAAAACTTGAGAAAGAAGGTATAATGTACGTGAAACTAGTAATATGGTATGAATTATAGGTGTAATATAATATTACCTCGTTTTTAATATAAAAGCTAATTGATGGGGATTATATTTGATTCTAAATATAAGATCTCAATTTATTTTGTCTCTCAAATTCATAATTTTTTCCAAAATATCCGTATTAGTTGTAAAGATCCCCATAAAGGGGTAGCATACTAGTATCAATGCATATAATTAAATATGGTACTTTAGGAAAACTAGTACACATTTATTACAGATAACAAATATAACTAATTTTTATAATATCTGTAAATTAATTATCTAACTTGTATATTAAGTACCGAAGGTAGTAAGAGATATGATTTATTACTTCTTGTGGTTGTTGTGTGTGTAATTTAATTGACTAAGATGACCTGAAACTTGGACTTGTAGATTTGGACGGCAGATGCGTGAGCAAGAAGCAAATGATGACCAACTAAGTAAGGCTCGACGGAGGAATCGCCACCAGTGCAATTAGGGTTGACCCAAGCAGAGCACCGACCCGGTGCTAAACTGCCCGTTGCATACCCATCATTGCTATAACTCTCCATGGCTCATTCAACGTTATCCAATGCTTAACTCTGTCCCCAAACTCCTTGAAGCATAATTCCACATAGTCTCCATAGTCTTTCCTGAAAGCGCACACGCAATATATATATATGTGTGTGTGTGTGTGTGTGTGTGTGTATCATTCATTACACAACGGTAAATATAGTCCCTCCGGTTCATAATGTAAGTTTTGAATAACTGAATTGCGTATCTCTAAACCTATATTTGGTATGAGAAAATTAGAGGGGAGAAAAAATTTTAATGCTTGATTTAAAAAATTGGAGAAGTAGGGTTGTAAAGTTTTAATAAAGAGAAGATACAAGATAAAAGAGTTAACTAGTCAAAAGTTTTTAACCCTACTTCTCTAATTTTTTAAATTGAGCTTATTAAAATTCCCCCCCCCCCTCTCTTTCCATCCATTTCCCTCATATGAAATGGATCATGTTGGTTAAAATCAGTTAAAAAAATAAACATGTAAAATGTAACTTATTTTCCTAAAACACCTTTATTTTTTTGAAAGGTTGAGTGGGAGAGGGAATGATAGGAAAAAATATGATAAAGATATATAATTAATTAGGGGTAAAAATGAAAAAAATACATTAAATGATCAGATAAATTCAAATTAAAACTTATAAAAAATAAGACCCATTCAAAGATTTGAAACTTACATTTTGAATGAAAGGAAGTAATTTGTTATGATATTATTGTGTTTAATAATTATTTCTCACTTACACAATATCAGGGCTTAAGAAACCCCCATACTTATCCTCCAGAGCTTGTGGCAGATCCCAGTGGAAAAGAGTCACAAAAGGTTTTAGACCTGTCCATGGTCGTCAATTTTAATTTTCTGGTATGAATTTAAAGAAAAACATGTATAATTAAAACTAATTAGGCTTGGATAGTGACCGTTAGCCAATAGCTCGTCGATGAGGTTGTTGTAATATTTGATTCCCTCTCGGTTTATACCTCCACTTAGCTTTCCCTCTGGAAATGTTTATGGTTTATAAATACTAAAATTAAAAAATAAAAATAAAAAATAACTCGACCTCCTCGGAAAATTAAATTTCAACGAAGTATACAAGTCATATTGACAAAAATTCATGATCTGAAACTCACTTGGCAGTATTCTCGACCAAGATATAGAAAATCTGTAAGCATCTAAATTCATATACTTCATGATTCCAACATCTTCCTATATAAAATATAAACAAAAAAATTAATATTGTATAAAAAATTATGGGGCAAAACTACAAAATTAAACTGATCGATGATGTAGGTTTTCATTATTTTATTTGGGAACTAATCCCATTGCATGCATGTGACAACGTTACTGATGAGACATCGTGGTCCCAATAAATAATAATAATAAAATGAAGTAAACTTATTGCGTTTAATAAATAAAATTATTCTAAAAGTCCAAATTTTCATGTTTCGTTTTCAACCTTTTTCAAATTATACATAGTCGCCCTCATAGCTCCGATCCGTTATTTTTTCTGCACACCAGTGAACAAAACACGCGTATTTATATTCTCGCAACCTACTGATTTACTCGACACTTAAAGTTTACTGTGATATTTAAATTTAAAGGTTATTATCTGTCAGTAAATTGTGAAAGAGTACAATAAAATCAATTATAAAAGTACAAAGTTTAATATGGCCCTTCCGATGAGCTTACTGATTTGGCTGACACGATGGGGCTTCATTTGTTTTGTCGGCTTCTTCGTTTGTTTCTTATTTATGTTTTGGGGCTCAGTGACTCTCTTACTGCCAAAAGGGCAACCATGGGCCCACAGTAAATATCCCATGAGATTGTTTCTTATAACTTTTAGAGTTCCAACTCACCAAATCATGTCTATGAAAGATTACGGGTCCATTTAGTACCGGGGAACTCATTAAAATTTTTTCTCCTTTCCATTTCTCGCATAACAAACATAGGGTTAGCAAGGACGTTTAGTATCATTGAGCTACAAGGCTTTGATGAATCCAATTATTTTGAGGCTTTGTTGGGGGCTGATAACTAATTCGTTTTCGTTATTTCTATCTATAAATTTCATCCAAATGTTTAATATTCTTTGAACATCATTTGAACACTAATTATTATTACTATACTTAGTCCTGCAGAAACACTTGATTGTCAGGTTAAAATTAAAGTTTTCAATTGGTCAGTTGAATAGAATTTCTACAAGTTCTTGCTTCTTATTAAAGAAATTTTTTTTTACAATAACCGTTTTCTATAATAATATATGCAAACTGTTGGACCAAAAAGTCGTTGGATTAATCTTGAAAATTAAATTAAATTTCTAATGAAGATATTAATCATTAAATGTGTGTACTGTTTTGTTAAAAACTTGTAATTTATTTGAATTTTATTTGCAATAAAGCTTATTGGCAAGTCCATATCGAGTTAGTTTTTGCTCTCTCCATTGCTAAATATAGTATTCGGTTGTCCAAATCATGGAGACTAAGAAAGTTTTCTTGTGTGTAAATGTTTTTTTTTCATTTTCAAAATCTATTATCCCTAATTATATGTTTTTCCTTTTTTCTAAAAGTCCTACTTCATTTAGATCATAAAATCATTTCTTTAATTTTGGATTGCAAAATAATCATTACATAGAGGTATAAGGGAAAAGATATTATAAAACATCCTAAAATTTTAACAAGGTATTATAAAGCAGGAACAAAGATTTTTTAAAAATGGCATTAAAGAAGTACTTGATTATGTTCCCCAAGCACTCTTTCTTTCCGCTCCATAGCGAATAAAGTTTATAAAAACATACTATCTTCTGTTGGCAAAAAAAGAACTATTTTTCCAAGACGTTACATGGCTGAAAACATCTAATTAGTTAATTTCATCGTCTAGAAACTAAATATAACATCTATTGTTTAGTTTGTAGTGCACTGCAAACTAGATTTAGAACTGAAGGTAGTAATTAAATGATTAAATAATAACGACAACATCTAATAATTAATTATTGTATATGCATTTTTTAAGATGGATCCGTCTATGCATTGACCTCTAAATTTTTTGACCAATCAAAATATGGCGTTTCGTATTGATTGAAAATAAACATATAGAATCATATTTATAGAGGATTGGAAGAAGATTTTTTGATTCTATTTATAAGTCATATCATTAAAGTCTTTACATAAATATACAATTTTATTTTTCATTTATTATTATGAGATTTTTTACTTAGGGTAGAGTGTTTGTTTGGTGTGTGTGTGTGTAATGCACAGACAAACAAAAATGATTTCAGTTGTGTACATGTGTGTCTCTAACTGGTGTTTTGAGTGGGATGTGAAACTTGTGTGTGATTCATCGAGCTGTGTGATTCACGTATATAAGGTAATTTAATATGATTCATGTAACTAGAGTTAAAGGGCTGAGAAATCTATAACATTTATAAAGTTAACATTTATATAAAAGCAAATATAAAGTTACTTATAATATATTCCTAAGTTATGATCAATAATAAAAGTCACCTCAAAATCAATATACTACGAAAAACAAGAATTTTTTTTTTCTGCTTTTGGTTTTTGATGAAGATCAGATTGAGTCATGGAAATGGAGTGTGTAAGAGTGAAATTTCTTACAATAGTGTTTTAATTGGTGTATTTCCCTCTACCAAGTAAGAGTAGTGGAGTTTGTATGTCAGTGCTTCCTTTAATATTTTTTCCACTTCCAAGAATAGACACACACAAGCCGATATATGAGATTAATATTTAAAAAGACAGAAAGAGACCTGGGTATTTGTGAGTAAAGGTATCCCATATGCTGGGTCCTCTTCCATCTTCATTTGCTGCACCTTCATACTGCATGCATGATCACACACACACACATATTTATGTATGTATTAATGAAGCAAAATGATTTTTATAATCTCAGAATCCGTACAGTGCACGCGCGTTTCAGATCTAATTGGCCATACCTATAGAAAGAAGGAAACGGATGATTAAACCAACCTGGTAAGATGCGGATGCGGTGCCGAAAAGGAATCCGGACGGAAAACTGCTTCGATTCAGAGAGGAAACATCGAGAATCGGCGAGCTTGTGGCTTCGCCGGCGCTCCAAGTAGCTGCGGCGGCTACGGTCAGGGCAAAGTGGAGCAGAAGTGACTTCTTCTTCAAAACCATCTTCTTCGTCGTGTTCCTTTGTGCGTCTTCACATGTCAATTGAACCAACGCCGCATATATTCTGATATTTATACCCAAAACAAGACCCACCACTCAAAGCAGAATTATTCCCATCTTTTCATATTCCCCACTTTGCCCTTCTATCCATTTCTCGTCCCATTTGTATCCACTGCCCCATGTGATTGCATAACAGTTTATAAGTCGGCTAAATTAATTTGGAAAAAACAGTAATATAATACTTTAAATAAAGCAATTTATTTAATTTTTGTAATTTCACCAATTAATTAACTGAGTCTTGCATAAGGACATGAGGTGATATTTAATTAAGTGACAAAACATACAAGTATTAATTTAAAAATTGATGAAAGTACAGATACCGGCAAAATGATTTTTTTTCCTTATATCGTTTCCGTTTTTGTTGGGATACACTTCCTCTGCATACCACGGTTCCAGCACTTACGGAACCGGATCCTCTCATTGTCCCTTTTCTCAGAATCTTTCAGTATCTTTTAATCCTATCCATCCATATGATCCAACAGTTAAAAATACACCACATCATCAAAACATTAAAAGTGAATAATCACCGTCCATTATCAACAAATCATGACCGCACTTTATGAGTTGCGTGGTGGGAAAATTCCAGCAATTTGCTGGCGCGGTTGTGCAATCTCCGTCCATAAGTTTCAAAGCCATTATTTCTCTTATTCTGCTGCTCCACCTACATATTCATGGAGACTCCTTATTTCAGCTGATTGCTTCTTCAGTTTGCAAGATTACTTTGGGGGCTATTCATTTTTCATTCGTAAGAGGCAAGGTAAAATAAGAGTAGCTTTTTTTTTTTAATAAAAAAAAAGATGGTAGCTTTTTATGTTCTTAGACAATATGACAAATCTTCATTGTCACATATTCACTGTTTAGTATTTGTTGCGATATCATACTGTTTATTTAATCTTCTATCTACTAATGATTCTGCAAAATGTATCTTGTTTGTTACGTGATATAATTGGAATTTAAACAAAAAAAAAATTTATGAAATTTTCTCCATTTAAAGTTGGGTTTTTTTATTAAGTTCATAAAATATACCATATAGCCCTTGTAACATCCTGAGTTTTATCGGGTTTTAAACACCTCTTTTGGTTGACTTTGAGGATAGATTAGTGATTTAAATGTTGATCTTGGTGTTTGGGTTGGAATTGAGGTTTGTTGGAGGAATAGGTGAACGTACCCCTCTCAGGGTATGTTCGCCTTCACTTCGCCGTGGCGAACCGAGAGTTTCAGGGGGGAGTGTCTTCTCGGGGAGGTTTGGCCGCGGCGAAGTCTTGGAGACGCCGCGGTAAAGTTGTTCAGGTGAGAGAGGTTTCCCTCTCGGGAAGGTCTCGCCGCGGTGAAGGTGTGGGCATGCCACGGCGAAGATTTTCTGGGCGAGCGAGAGTTTCCTCTCGAGAAGCTTTTGCCGCGGTGAAGTCGAGTTTTCAGGTGAGTAATCCCTCTCGGGATTAGTTCGTCGCAATGAAGTTATGGGTTCACCGCGGCGAAGGAGTCCGAATCTATATAGTCACGGGAGGGGTTCAGTTGTGCGAAAATTAGAAAAATCTGACGTAGAGAGAGAGGCTCTGCTAGGGTTTCGGTATTTTGGCTTGGAGGGGGCATTTCTAAGGATCCATTACCTCAAGTAAGTGATTTTAACCTCTAATCTACTTTCTTTCTTGGAATTTTTGAGGATTTATGGTGGAACCCTAGAGTTTTCTAGGTTGTGATGGAATTGAGGTTTTTGACCGATTGATTTGAGTTTAATTGATTGCTTTGGGTTAGTCTAAGTTTTTAATCGGTGTAGTTTTCTTGGATTTGAAGAACTTTGAGTTTTTGAAGTTAGGGTTTATGGAAATGGGAGGTTTGTGATTGAGGATGATAATGTAGAGGTTGATTTTGAGTTTTGTGAATTGAGTTATGTTAAGGAGGGTTAAATTGGATGTTTAATTGGTTAGATTGTTGTTAAGACTTCAATTGTTCAAATGGGATGTTTGGAGGTTGAATTCCTATAGTGGGTCCTTAAGGTTTGAACTCTAATTGATGCTTAAAAAGGGGATTTGATGTTTAATGGACTTTTATGACTTTGGAGTGTTGTTTTGATGGTTATACCCTTTGACTTGGGTAGAGTTTTGGTTGGAGCTAGGAATTTTGTGTCCTCAAGTGTTGTTTTGGCCACATTATTAGTTTGAAAGCTAATAATGATGGTTGTGTGTTTGTGTGCTTGTGTAGACCGGTTGTGAGCCTTGTTGGTGCACGGACCGTATTGTTGGTTGTTATTCCTTGCTCAGGCGAGAGGTAACCACTTTCCAATCCTTAGTACCTGCTTCTGTGGTATTCTGAGTAGATTTATGTTTTGTGCTCCGAGTAACAATTATATTCAAAGTGTATGTTGTATATATAAAAGGAAAACCGTCTTGTGGGGTTTCGATTGATGATGAATGAATCTTAGAATTGTGAAAGATATGCCACTGAAAGAAGTTAATTATGAAATGTTCAATTACTATTTGATTATGGTTGAGCATGATGCATGAATTGGGAATTGGTGAGAATTTTGATAGTTACTACCACGTGGTAAGGCCTCCATTAATGCATGATGGTTGGCTCAGTACGTCCCCCAGAGTGAAGGATAGGCCTTTTATGGCTCCTTACGTCCCCCATAGTGAGGGATAGGCCGGGTTTGGCTCTTAAAAATCCCCCAAAGTGAGGGATATGGTTGATGGGAATTGTATCATTGCACTTGCATGAATTGTTGTGGCTATCATTTATAATATTACTTGTGAAATGCCCCACTTGACACCTCACGAGTACCTATTTAGTAGTACCTTGAATTGGAAAGGTTGGTTATTGGGACGTTTGTCTCACCCCGTGGTTTACAATGTTTTCAGGTGAAGGTTCTAGGCGTGTGCCTTCGGAAAGAGACGCAGAGGCTTGAGCTTGGTTAGCTTTAGGCCTCTAGCCTTTGTTTATGTATGACCAGTTGTATATTGTCACACCTTACTTATATAGTACCTTAGCATTCATTTAGAACCATTCCAAACCACTTTGGATGGTCTTAAACTTAAAAATTTCAATTTGGATGTTAATTTTCGGGAAATTACTGTTCACTGTCCAGTTTTCAGATTACAGGTCCAACTTTGAAAAATCATAACTAATTCTAGAAAAATCGTATGGAGGTGTTCCAAAATTCTACGGAAAGCTCTTTCAATTATCTTTAAGGGAAAAATACTCAACTGAACTCATCCTCATGGAAAACGTACAGTTTATTGGATTAAGATTACTATCCGTTTGGTAAAATCTGGACTTTCCAGATTCTGCGCCTTAACTTTGAAAATTCATATCTCTTCGTATACACATCCAAATGAGGTGATTTACCACTCATTTTGAAGCTTGGGATGTGCACTATAGGTATACCAAATCTCGTGATTTAACTCATTCATTTGGTAGGTCAAACTGAAGCTCAAAACTAACTGCTTCAGGACCTACGTTTTATCCTTTAATATCTCCTTACTTTAATTCTTTTTATTTCTTTGACATACATAGCATGGGCTTAATCTTTCTCATTCATACTCATATACTTTCATTCATGCCATAAACATACTAAGCATATACATTGAAGTAATGGCATTCAGAAATAATTTACAGCATAGGAGAATTATACATTGAATATTAATATCATTCATTTGCCTTAATAATTCTCCACTTCTTGTCCTTGCTTCTCATGCCATTAGTGCCCATCATTGATTGACCTAAATGGTTGGTTAGGAAGGGGGTGAGATTCGGGGGAATCTCAGTAGCAAACAATACCATATTAATCATGCTAAATGGATGCTCATGCACTACACGCAACTTGTTTATTCTCTTGTTAATTAGTGACATACTAGCATGCTCAAAGCTAACTTCTTGATGCATGGCCATGGAGACATAATCTACTCATCATGAATAGCAATCACAGCAGCTAAAACATGTCACAATAACATTCAATAACATGTACACGGCAACACACAAGCATACAACATCAAGCAATGACAATAGGTAAGTTTACTACCTTGCACCTCAAGCCTTCCTCTTACTTTTCCTTTGACTCCCTTGACTTTCCAACCATGTTAGCTTTCGGTCAACATCATCAAACATCCTCTTGGATGTTCCAAAGGTCCTAAACATAGTCATAATGATCATACAATCTATTAGGACCACTAGATTACATAAAGTTCAAAGCTAGCTCTCTTGAACCTCAACCCTTTCTTTCTTAGTCTTAGGGTTTTCTCTCTAGCTTTTCTACATAAATCTTATCATTTTACATCCTTATGATCTATTTCCTGTCAATTAGGACCACTTTAGATGGCTTTAGATTCAAGAATACCAAATCTGGAAATTTTGGTTCGCGGTACTGTTCACGCAGAATCTCCAGAATTTTTGCTCAACTTTGAAAATTCATAATTAAATCTAGAAAACTCCAAATTGAGTGCTTCCAAGTCTCACTGAAAGCTAATTAAGTTAAATTTAAAGGAAAAATAGTTTCAGGAACCAATTCTACGCTGAACAGTACCATAATTGTACGGAAATGACACCCTTCCAAAGCTTAACACTGTTTCCAGATTTCAAACCCTAATTTTGAAAAATCACCATAAATCGTACACATATCCAAATGAAGTGTTCTACCCATGGATTTAAAGCTCACAGAGTGTACTACAAGCATACCAAATTTCAGAATCAGATTTGAACAGTAACTAATTCGAAATAGGTATCAAATCAGATGCTACAGCCACCACATACCTTGATCTTGAAGCTTGAACTTTGTTCCTTCTTCTTGGCCTTCACCCCTACGTTTTCTCTCTAAATTTTGGCAGAGTTTCCCCTCTTAAACTCATGTTGGCTGAAAATATGAAGGGGAAGAGGCTCTATTTATAGCCAAAAAGTTGGCTTGAATAGACCAAAATGCCCTTGGTGGCTAATAGAAAGGGTAAGGGCAAATTTG